TCAGAATAATGTTCTTGGATAATTTCTATTTTTCTTAGCAGTGAAAATAAAGATCCTAGGTTGTATCTAGGGCTTTGTTTTAATTTTCAACAATATATTGTGGTACAGTAAGTGGAATTCAGGTATTTAGAATAAAAGTAAAAGAAACATTTTTTAATTAAATACCTTGAGTTCCACATAGCCACACCTTTCAACTCCAAACTAACATGAGCTATGTGTCAGTCCCAAAATGAGTGCATGATAGTCTCCTGTGTGCAGTGCACCTATCTCAGGGCATAGGAAGCAAATAGAAGGCATGTCACTCAACATTACTCAACCAAGCTATTTGTCACCTGACTTGTTGGGTTTTGTGGTCCTTAAAGGCCAAGAGAGCTTGTAAAAATGATGTATGTAGCGGAATATGCACTTCAGTGGGAGTGTGTGTGTTGACTAACCAAGATTGGACGGCTTATGGCCCTGGTCATGTCCAAAAGCCTTAGCCTTAGGCATGTGGCACAACCGAGAAGGGTTTGACGTGGGTCATCCCTTGTTGAGGATTGAGAGATGCCTTGGGATCAATGTTTCAAAAAATGCGCGGCCGGCCTTGCGCCCAGCGCCCTGTAGTACAAATTCTTAAGATATATTTATATATTTGCTGTTCAAACGCACATACATGCATATGTTTGTGTCAATTTTATAATTTATTTCATTGGAAAATATTGCAACATACGTTTTTATATACAAACGTATGACATATCAGTATGTCACAGGTTGAGAACAAACTTGTTCAAAATTTCAAACCATACAAAACATTTAAATATCTAAGAGGCTATGTAAGGTCTCCAACTCAGCAAATCTCATATTCTCCATATTCCATATCCATAATAACATCCAAGTCTCAAAAAGGGCCAAAAAAAAAGTATAGACCACAACAAGTCCAAACCAAGATGGTGCAATAAAGATACTACAAAAGAAGAGAGAAGACATCAATAAGAATCATAATCATCATCTTCATTGATTGCATCTGCATTAGAATTGAAGTCGTCATCATCAAAATGATCACCCTCTTTAATATATTCCTCTTCTTCCATAGATTCTTATGAATTTGCCTCCTTCTTCTATCTCCCTCTGTCAATGTGAAGTACCAGAAAAAGTCGTTGCTCGAGTGGGCCTCCTAGGATCAGAAGCTCGTCCCGAAGCCTCCTCAACCATTTCCCATGTCAAACCCTTTCCAAGGAAGACCTCCTCAGTACCAGGGTCACTAACCAGCCAATCTGAAGCATTCTCCATGTCTTTCGAAGAGACAAGATCCTTCTTTGGCTGGTTTTTCTTTTCGTTGAGCCTTTGATTCTCTCTAACAAAAACCAAGTCATTGAGCTTCCTTTGCTCAAGCGTATTTCTTCTCTTTGTATGCACCAATAAGGAAAAATGCATGAGTAACTATTATGATCTTTTTATCTTCTGTGAATCTAAATTAGAAAAATGAACTTGTAAACAAGAAAAGTATATAAAATCATAAAATACCATCTCAAACGAACTCCAATTGTGCTCACAACCGGAAGAGGTATTAAACTCAAGATCTGTATAGCCATCTTCTGGAGGTGTGGAGTGCTACTCCCATGTTGTCTCCACCATTGGGTTGCAATATGTGGGCAACCTTTATAATTAATTCAGGTATTTAACATTATCATATATAATTTTTGGAACTTGATATTTGAAAGAGAATTATAAAACAAAAGTACAAAATATATTATCTGGTTCGTCTTTGTTTCTCTGTCATAATGCCATATCTTTCTCGAATAACATCAAAGCACACTTGTACGAAATGAGCTCTTTAGTTTATATCTTTTCCTGAATATGTGGATTGGGAACTAATTTCTCAAGGAACTCATAAAAACCATCCATAATTGTCTCTTTTGCCTCCATATCAGCATCTGGATAAAAGAATTTGGGGTTCAAGTAGTACACCGCTGCATGCAATGGTCTATGGAGCTACCTATTCCACTTGTCATCTATAATCACCCGAATTCGGCCGTACATGGCTTCATCATTGCCCAAATTCTCTACAATCTCATTCTTAACCCTTTGAATTGCATCATATGTAAAGCCCATGGAGGGCTTATCAGCATCAACCATGTGCAAGACCCTCACCAAGGGAAGAAATGCTATTATCACATGCTTTATACCCCAGGTCAAAAATATTTAGAAAGAGGAAAATCCCGTGCTTTCTTTCCCTTGGCATCTCTAGACCACTTACTCCTACTCCACTCCTTTGAAGCAAACATAGACCATAATGGAATTGTCCTTTGAGACATGCTTTGTAGACTAAGGTAGGCAGTGGCAAATCTAGTGACCCCGGGACCTCACTAGCTCTTTCTTCTTTGTAAACTTGTGCATCATGTTAAGGGTAGGTATGTGACTGTATTTGAAGACTGTAACCTCTTTAGCCTTAGAAAGAACTCCTTTAATAGTAGCCAACTTAGCAATGGCCTCAAGCATAAGTTCTACGCAATGTGCAGTGCAAGGAGTCCAAAATGTGTGAGGCTTCTTCTGTCGAAGCAAATGACCTGCAACTAGATTGGGAGCAGCATTATTTGTGACCACTTGAATTATAAGTTCCTCTCCAATCTCCTCAATGCCCTTATCGTTGAAAGAAAATATATAATGAGCATCATGAATATCATCTCAAGCATCAATGGATCGCAAAAAGACTGTACCCAAGGGACAATTTACCGATAAATTCATGTTGCTCCTCTTATCACTCTACATATCGGTCATTAAAGAAACCCCAAATTTAGCCCACCCCTCCTTATGGGTCTTGAGATACCTTTCAAACTTGGCCCAAATTGCCCAATTACTTCCAACATATTATGGAAGCTTTTCAAGTGAGCGGTGTTAAAAGAAATGCCCGCTGGGAAAACCAACGAGCAAATACTGAATCACCCTGCCTCTTTCTTGCTTCTTAAATCTTTTTTCAATTGTCACTTGATTTTTTCCCTTTCCCTTTCCTTTCTCAATTACTGTTTCAGGGTTAGCTGTAAAAAAACTATCAATGGGCCCTTTCATATGAGGCTTCTTAACCCAAAAGCCCTCTTACTCTTAGAGCTCTAGTACCAACCATGGCTACCTCCTCTTCTCCCTCTTCATCTTCTTCTTCAGTGTCAATATTATCATAAAAAAGATGAACCCCTGACTTTAATTCTGCTATATCCTTTTGTCTTGAATTTTTTTTATTCTTTTCACCTTCAATGTATTCAGAAATTTCTTTTTTTGCAAGCTCTGGGACTTCCTTGCACGGGGCAACATCACCTCTAATACAGGCAAGATGTTTCTTAAATCTATTTATGCCTGCATTAGAAACATGTCCATAGAAATTGCACATAATTTTATTCTTATCAGTCTTATTCGGGTTAACACAATATTTCAATCCTGGATCTCCACCCCTAGTAGACCCCGCAGAAGACATCTCAAATTGAAAAAATAAAACTCAAATAAAGATTACAAACTGATATTTTTTCCCCAATCTCTAATCTTCGATGTTGGTTACCTCAATCGGGCTACTAATCAACTCAAAAGTCTTCTAATACCACCAATAGCACCCTTAAAATAATTTAAATGAGAAAAAAAACTTTTTCAATCCACAAAAAATACTTTCGATTATCAGAAATTACTTTAGATTCTCAAAAATATGTTTATCTTAGAGATTGAGTGTTTTTGTTTTCACTTTGGGGGTTAAAAATAATCCCCATAATGTATTTATACAATATTGGGGGTCAAAATGACTCCCTTTGCCCTTTGGGTGACTTTAAAAAACAAAAAAAGGCCTACGACCCTAGGTGCCCACCCATTACTGAGTGCTGGGTGCCTGCCTGGCCCGGTTGGGTGCCTGCCCAGGTACATCTGCCCATGTTGGACTGCTTGGGTTTGGGCGTGCAGTGTTTTGCTCCAGGGTGCCTAGGCGTCGGGCGGACCGTTTTTTGAAACATTGTATCCATCTCAGCATCTTTATTATAGCTATTGCCCCATAAAGCAAAGTTGGTCTTACAGTTGTCCTATAGAACTTCCCCTTCAGCTTCATTTGTATACGGCGGTCACGTAAAACTCCGGCTGCATATCTTCACTTCGTCCACTAACTCTAATTCTATGTGCAACATCTTCCTCTTCCATTTTCTTGGTATTTCTTAGCTGTCAATCTTAACTACTTCCTTGTCTCTACTACTATTATTACCAAACTTGCATTCCATGTAATTTGTCTTAGTCTAGCTAATTGTAAAACCTTTGGATTGTTGAGCATCCCTCCAAAGTTATAACTTCATGTTGATGCCGCTACGGGTCTCATCAATCAAAACTATTATGTCCGCAAGCAACATACACCACGGTACCTTATCTTGTAGGTGGTAAGTTTTTCATAATTTGGGGTTGAAGAGGTTACATCCCCTAAATTTGGGGTTCTAAAATTATTTCCAGGTGGGTTTTTGCCGAGGGAGTAAATGGACATTCTACTCTTGCTCTGGAGTAGAATATCTTTTGGCTTTATTTTTTACAATTGAGTGCAAGTCTGCATTGTAGTATCGATGGGTTATTTTGGATTCTTCTCTATGGATTTATACACAATTAATGAGTTATAGTAGTTGCCAATCTTCGGATCTGGAATTCCTAGAGTTAAAAGTGTATGCCAAGGTGGTTTTGAATTTGTGATAAATGGAGGAAAAAGTGAATGCTAAATTTCATTTTTCACCCTATATGCCTTTGATTTAGACATTCTACTCATTTATTCTTGCATAGTATATTGGTTATATTGAAATCATCTCTTGCAAATTTTGCACCAATAATGAGTTATCAGTAGTAATTGTGAATTTCGAGATATGGAACTGATGGGATAAAAATTGTACACCCCTGCTGATTTCTGATATTTTGGATAAATGGAGACAAAAAAGAGTTTTCTATATATTTACTCTTTTACCTCATATGCTTTTACTTTTATATTCTAGTATTTTATTCATTCAGTGGTTTTCTTGTAGATGCATCTTTTCTCGATGTCTGGTCCTTTGATCAATTTCAAAGCCTTGTCAATGGATCGAAGGACGATCCTGTGATAAATCAATTGCTCCACCAGGATAAAGTGGTTATCTTTTTGCATCTGCTTGGCTGTGACACCAATGGGCATGCGCACAAGCCCTATTCATCTATCTATTTGAACAATATTAAGGTTGTTGACGATATTGCAGAGAGCACATATAAGCTTGTTGAAGATTTATTCAAGGACAACGCAACGGCGTATATTTTTACAGCCGATCATGGAATGAGTGATAAAGGTAAGATTTACTGTTCTGTCAATACTTGCATAATGTTTGCTCTCTTAAGCTTGCATATATCAATATTTGATTTGTGCTACATGCTTGTAATATTGTAAGTCTCTATGAACTAGGCCTTAGAAGTTGTCAAAAATGGTTGGGTTTTGTTCTCCACTGCCCATATGAAAATTGTGGACTCTCCAGACTCAAAATCATACTTCCAATGTGAACCTTACTTCATGTTGGTGCTGGTACACAACTCTTATTTATGGTGAATCAATTAAAATGCCCCTAAACTTGGAATAACTAAATATCATTGTGTGCATGTAAAATTATATTATTGCCCCTCCATATGTACAAATGCTTTTCATACATATGTAAAGGTGACAGCATTTTTACACTTCAAAATCGCCAAGTTTTTGCAATGTTGCCTAAGTCTCACTTTGTTATGTTTTAAATTCCATTACTAGGCAAAGCTGACCTGCCTTGATTCTTTAAACATTTATGTATGTAGACGTGTGTGGATGTGCGTGTGCATGGGTGCCTATTTGTTTGCGCATTTTGTGTGTTTGTGCGCCTGCATCAGTTGCATGTTTGTGTGGGTAAATTGTCATCTGAGACTTCGTCTTCCATCAAAATGATTCATCATTTGTATCTGTGCAATTTCCAGTCTTTACCTCGTAAATAGATTTCTGTATGCTTGATATTAAGCATGATACATGCACTTTGGTTTTGGTATAGCTGAACTTTGCTTTATGCAGTCATGATTGCTTCTTCAATCATGTGATTTTTTCTTTTTCATATTCCATTTTAATGCTTTTTTAGTTGCTTTGTTTATCAAAATATTTCAGTTACATTTAATTAATTTCTTTGAATTTTGGATTCTCTGGTAACTATTTAGTTTATGTGGCGGGCATCTAATTTGTTCTTGACAGGAAGTCATGGGGACGGTCATCCGTCAAACACTGAAACTCCACTTGTAGCATGGGGTGCCGGTATTCGGGGTCCAAGGACGTCATATATCAAACATCGTTCTTCTAATAACTTTCGGTTTGTTGATGAGCACACACATGATATGCCGACACCTATTGAATGGGGTCTTCGAGATGTAGAGAGAGTCGATGTGAATCAAGCTGACATTGCACCTCTAATGGTCATACAACTTCTTTCCCAGTCTTATTGCTGAGAGTCATAATTCAATTTTGTACAGTTTCTTCCTTCTCTTTCTGGTGAATCTCAAAGAACAGATATTCTTTAACATAATGTGGTTTCTTGAATTGTATTCTGTTTTTTTTTTTTTCTGTTTTTTTTAATGATAGATCGAATTGTATTTACTGTTGCCTAAGACGCGCTTGGTTTATGCAGTCGACTCTTTTGGGTTTACCCTGTCCTATGAATTCTGTTGGAAATCTACCCCTGGAATTTGTAGATATGAATGAGGTCAGTTACTGTTCATCTCTCAGATTTGTATTAGTTTGATTTATATTTCTTATCCGGGATATTGATATAATTAACAAGAAGCTCTCCATATTATGATTTTACACTTTGATGCATGGATAAGAGATGGAAGTAAATTCAAATTATGAGTTTTGTTGATTGCTTTTCTGCTTTCTTTGCGTTGACTAGGAGGATGAGGCTGAAGCTGCATTGGCCAATGCCAAGCAAGTTCTTCATCAGTTTCGCCGCAAGTCACGTATCCTTTACTAATATCAGGCATTTAGTAATCTGGCATTTAGTATTGTATTCCTTTCTTTCCCTTATTAAACTGTGGGACTTGCATCTGTGAAGAGAAGCAGAATGGTTATTTGGCACCGCTGTTACATATTAAATTTATATTGAATATTATTTAATAAAAAATAAAAATTTTAAAATAAAATTGTGGAAAATATGAAAGCATAAAACATAAAATATTTGGGAAATTTAATTCTCAAAAAAACAAATCAGGAAATTTATCTAAATAAACATAAGATATGACCTATTTAACATTTTACTCATATTTTTTGATTTAATTTCAAAATACTCATCACCAGTCACATGATTATGACATGGAATAGTTGCAAAGGGTAAAATGTTACATTGAATCTCTTATGAGTAGTTTGATAAATTTCCCCAAAATTATCTCATATAAATAGTGAGATATATTATGTACTTATATTATGTTATTTCTTTTCACTTTTCAAATATGGTTTTTAAAATAGCTATTAGTAATAAAATTTTCAAAAGATATGCAGTGATTCCATTTATCCTAAATGGGAGTACATGCTTTATTATATTATGTACTTATATTATGTTATTTTTTTCACTTTTCATATATGGTTTTTAAAATAGCTATTAGTAATAAAATTTTCAAAGATATGCAGTGATGCCATTTATCCTAAATGGGAGTACAGGCTTTACAGCTATAAGGTTGTTATCACTTATTATATACACTACGATACCCCGTGTCTATTAGCTCAACAAGTCTTGTCAGATGTTTCGGCGTACTTTGTCAAAAGTTTGACAGGGGTGACACATATGAATAAAATATGAGGCAGTGCCAATATGTGTTTAAATAGGGCAAAAAATATCAAGTTGGGTATTTAGAATATTGCTGCAGCTGTGATTCGTCTTTTTTTGTTTTGTATCCTGTTTTGATTGTTTCCTATTCTTCGAACCCAATATAGGTCTTCAAATATCCTTTGGTTTTTCTGATGCATGATGTTAGGGAGGCAGGGGGACGATTATTCAAATATCCTTTGGGTTTTCTGATCCATGATGTTGGGGAGGGAGGGAGAGGTTTATTTTGGTAACAGTTGTTAAAATCCAAACATTACATGCAACTGGGAGCTCCAAATTATACCTGCATAGGACAAACTACCCTGCTTTCACAATCATAGACTCCCTTCGCTTCCCCTCATTTGGTAAGGCATTAGTCCTCTTTTGCCACTCTAGTTACATGTCGAATGATGGAGATTTACTCAATAATATCAAACACGTCATTGCAAAATTACATGAAAACTTTAATTTTTTGTATGTAATCACATATGATAAATTCATGTTGTTTTGATGATTGTGATTTGGCACCTTCTCACACATCCAATGTGCACTGTATTTTAGGTAATGGTTGTTTTCTAAGGTATTTCTTTGACCAGGTGTGCAGAAATAAAGCAGTCACATTCTTTAAGTTTTAAACCATTTAAACCATTGGAAAACTCTACTTCAGTTGTAAATGAAATCGAGGATCTCATATCCCAAAAGGATTATGAAGCTGCTGTAAGATTATCCCAGAGTCTCAGAACATTGTCCTTGGCAGGCCTCCACTACTTCCAAACTTATGATTGGATGATGCTGATGACAACAATTACTCTTGGATATGTTGGTTGGATGGTTTACATTGTCATGCATGTCCTTAAGTGGTATACTTATCTCCAGGAAAAATATTCTTTGACGAAGAATCTAGCTATTCTTATGGATCAGCGTGATACGAAAGTAAGATAAGGCTATTCTGCATCACGATTGATTACTGTTTGATATTCTATTGGATTGTTAAAGTCCATAATTTATAATTGTTCCTTGGACGAAATTATTGAGAGATTATTAGAGAACTTTTCTTTTGGACTGTTCTCTTGGTGATGCAATTGTTGTATAATATTGCTCTTCTCTTGCTAAATGTTTGTATTAATCTTGTGCATATGGCCTATGCATTTACTATACCGTATTTCATGTATCGTTCTTGTGCATATGGCCTATGGGATTCCTGTTATGTGGGTCCTTTTTTGTGCCATGGAAAGTTCAAAATATGTCATCGAGAAATATGTGATAATTTCCTTTTCTTCACCAATCAAAATGAAAAGTTAGTTTTCTTTTTATTCATATGAGCAGAATGTATGTCCATTCTTTCTAGAAGGGCCTCAAAACCTTTACTTGAATGGGACAAATCATTTGATCTAGAACTATTTAGGAAGAAGTATGAAATCATCATCATTTTATCCTTTTCTCAATTAATTGGGATCGACTACATGAATTCGGGTTCTCCATTCTACTCTATTATAGGCCATATCCTCAATGAGGCCATAAATTCCCATATCTTTTCGAACTACTTCCAACCACGTCCTTTTGGGCCTACCCCTTACTCTTTTCAGTCCTTCACTTGAACTAATTCGCACCTCTTAACAGGTACTTTACTTGGTCGACGCTACACATGGCCAGCCCACCTAAGTCTACTCTTTTTTTCATTTTGTCGCCTATTGGTGCTACCTCTAAATTCTCCCAAATAGATTCATTTCAAATTCTATCACTTCTTGTCTTGCCACTTATCCATCTCAACATCCTCATCTCCGCTACACTCATTCTATGGGCATATTGTGTTTTGTCCGCCCAACATTCCGCCCCATAGAGCAAAGCTTGTTTCACTGTTGTCCTTTAAGCCTCTTTGATATGCGATAATCACATAAAATTCCAGTTGCACATCTCAACTTCACATAAAATTCCAGTTGCACATCTCCACTTCCTCGATCTCTCCATTTTGCTAGATTATCGACCCAAGATATTGAAAGTGAGGTCTTTTTTATACTTCCTGGCTGTCAATCTTAATTACTTCCTTGTCTCTAGCCCTATTATTACTAGGCTTGCACTCCATATACTCTGTCTTAGTCCGACTAATTTTAAAACCTTTGGATTCTAGAGCATCCCTCAAAAGTTCTAACTTTGTGTTGACGCCGTTTCTAGTCTCATCAATCAAAACTATGGCATCTGCGAACAACATGCACCAGGATACCTCATCATGTAGGTGCCTAGTTAAATCATCCATAACTTTGACAAAGAGGTACGGGCTTAATCCCGACCCTTGATGTAGACCTAGAAAGAGGTATGAAATATTTACAGAATTAGAAGTATACAAGATTCACATCGGATGCCTCTAGATGATGATACTGACTTCTCTCGGAATTTGTTGGAGTGTCATTGTACTCCAATTGTTTAACAGTCAAAGCAAGGATTAATAGAAACATGGCTAGTAACTTATTTTAAGATTCCAATTGCTTCTAGTATTAGACTCTATCCACTATGGAAGTTTCCTGCTGCGAACCTTCCTTGAAATATTCTCGATCTTCATGCTTTTACTATAGTTTTTTGATTTTTTCCAAGATATTGTGTGTTTTCTCCAAGACAATTCAGTCCTAAAGAACAGTCCTTGTTGGGAGAGAGAAACCCATTAAGCGATTTTCATTTCTAATTTGCCAATCAAAATCAAAGAAATAGGTATCAATCTTATCTATCTGCACCAAAGATGTGCTAACAACAAGCGCCAAAAAATAAACGGCAAATCTGAAAGGCCAAATCAGCTCAACCAACGGGAACCCACTTCCTCTCCTCCTTTTGGAAAGTGGCTAGCCTCATTTCAGGTTCTCTCACTCACCCACACTTTCTAAGAGAAAAAAAGTGAAGATATGCTGGAGAAATAAGTTTTGGAGAAAAGCAAACCTAGGGGAGAGAGAAGCTAGAAAGCTCCATTAGAGGAGAAATCGATGTGACGCCCTTCAAGTTGCCTCTAAATTCGAGGAGGTATCCACACTATCTATAGATTAGAAAAGAAAGAGGAGTTATGCAGAAAAAAATGTTGGAGAAAAAGCAAAGCTAGGAGAGAGCTGAGCTCAAAGTTCTATTTGAGGAGAATTCAAGGCGATGTCCTTCCACTTGCTGCTGATTTCAACAAGGGATTGTTATTTTTTTATGGATTTCAATCTCGATAGGGTGATCAACTTGCTCGAGAAGGTGACACCTGTGACTCATTTATTATCTTGGGGAATATTTGGGATTTTGATGGATTTAGATCCTAATAGGGTGATCAACTTGCTATGAAATGATACCATGTAATTGTTGGAATTATGTCCTTTCAAGGCCTTAAATTTCGATATTTTCAATGGCTTTTAACTTTAGTAGGAATAAAAGAGTGACATGACTCTAAGATCTTAGCGCACTGGGACCAGAGTCATGGAACCTCGATTAAGTCATGAGGAGAATTTATATGCGTAGGAGGTACTGAGAGGGTTGATGGTTACCTCTTATTCAATGTCGGTTGTTATGTTTGTGCCTCATGATTGAGTGATGGGCCAGGGAAATACGATTTATGTATGAGCTTGATAATTAAAAGCCTTGTATAGGAACATGAGAGCCAATAGAGGATATTGGCTTAAATCCTTAACTCATAGAACCTTCTCGTAGCATGTGCATATACAGTCACAATGCATGGGAAGCCGCTCTTCCAGGGATCCACTGTTTGGAACTATGCGCATGTGCTAAGAGAGGAACCCTGCACCATTTGTGTGCATGTCCTCTTGGGGGTGCACCTGAAATCCACTTATACTTGGGGATTAAGAGTTGAACATCGGTTTGACGTTGATAGGCTACGATCATGAGCCCATGATTATATCCTCTAGGTTAGGAGTCTATTGGGTCATACCATGAAGGTAGCTTTGGATTCCAGATCTAGTCGAGTGGAGTGGTCCGTTTCGTAATCTGACTCAAAGGATCTTAATTTCCCTTGTAAATGTTTTTAATCAATGCCAAATTGATTTAATTTGATGGAACATTAAAATGATTTTTATGGATTTATGAGAAATTTTTGAATTTTCCTGAGCAAGAAAATCTATTTTCCAGTATTGTTTGAATGAAATGACAAACAAAGACAGTCCCTCAGGACCCACACGAATGGTCAATGGGTGTCCAGGTGTTGGCTTGGGGGGTCCCACGTCCCCCCCTTTCCCGCCCCCCCCCAACAACTCGCACGTGAAGATGACATGGGGGCGACGTGAACCCCACCTAGGGACCCCCACGTCCTTTGTTGGTTTGTTCCTTTAACTTAACTGTGTTGAATTATGGGATTTTATGAAATATTAAGTTTTTGGAAAAACTATTTTGGCACATGTTCAATTCCTAAAGCAAGGGGTTTGTGTACATGTGTGGAGGATTTCAGAAGGGATATAGGATTTGTAATTGCAAGCCTAACCTTAAGGATATATGGTAAATGTGCAGTTAACCACCTAAGCTTATGTGGCAATGGAGGGAGCTTTTAAGATTTGTTTTTTGTTGGAATTTTTGACAAATGACCATAAGGGTATACCCTCCATCTTAGTTTTAGCTTTATTAAATGTAAAGAGGATGGGTGTTTTAATAACAAGGGAAATCAGAGTGAATTAAAGGAGGATAAAGGTGTTCAATTCATACCACATCTTGATGGCATGGTGGGCTAGGATCATGCCTCTCTTGTAACCATTGGTAGATATCATGAAGGGCCAAGATTCATCCATCTAGAAGCATCTCCATACTTGAGGGTTAAGAAGTTATAAACACCCTCTTGGGCCCAATTTTTGTCACACATGAGTTCACAAAATTCCCTGCAAAAGTGGCACGCACCTCTCTCTCTCTTCTCCCATAGAGTGGCATGCTGAAGCTAGTCTTCTTCTTCTTTTCTCTCTCTAAGAAACTGCCTTTATAATAAGGTGAGAGAAGAACTCCATTGAAGGTCTTGTACTACTCTATTAATGGTGATCCAAAGTTTAAATTCAAGCCATGGATGATCTCATCTTCAAGCCTTTAACGATTGAGTAAGATTATTTCTGTTTCCATTGATTTCTTTTAGTTTCAACTTGCTGTAAATTCTCAATTACAACATTCTTACTTCATCCTTTGATGATTAGATATTTGATCTCTTGATTGATCATTCATCTCTCTTGATCCATATAGTTAAACGCTTCATCCATGCACATTTTGACGTAGTTTTTCATGAGCTTTTTTCCTTGAACTTAGGAGTATTTTTTACTGATATTTCTTTGAGATTTTGTGATCATATCAGTCACTTAAACCTTCTTCTTGATCTCTGGAATTGTTAATTTTATAAAAAGAGACTATACTGAAGTTTTGTGAGTCAAATTGTGATTTTGTGTTTTAAGAGCCTGGTTTTCTCCCATGACTTCTCCACTTGATTTGATTTTTAAATCTCTGTAAATCCTTCCATGTTTTAAGTGTGTATCAGTAGATGCTTGGGTTCCCTCTTTATTAGGTGATGAATTGGCCTGATTTTAAGATATGCCATGGCATGTCACCCAATGGCACATAGCTAGGACCCAAGGACGTAAACCGGGCACCCAACAGCTCTGGTTGGCTTCCCATAGTTATGGTGCATTGCACACTTGGGCATATGTATATTGATGTAATGGAGATCATGTTGCGATTAGTCTTATAAAGTCTATTGATGTATAATTTTACTTTGTAAGTTTGAGTGATGCTAAATTTTCAAAGCACACTATACATGTGAAGTTGATGATCTCCTTTTGTACCTTGTTTTGTTCATATACCAGGGACCTTAATTGAGTTGTATGATTGTATCCTCTTATTTGAGTGTATTTGGATGTCAAATAGCTCACTGTAGTTATAGTGACCTTGCTGTAATTTGAATTTTCGAGTTGTAATTGGTGATTATGTGAGAAATTTTCACCATATAGTGAAGGACATTGAGTTAGCCGGCATGGCATTTGATATGCCAACTCAAGTGACCCTCTTCTTGTCCACTCTCTCCCTTTCATGGGAGAATTTTACAGCCAACTTGGTGGCATGTGACATCTCCATGACTCTTGAGAATCTCGCATTCTTCCTTGAAGCCGAGGATGAGCGCTGGACTGTGAGCATGCATGGACTTAAGACTATGGTCCATATAGTAAACTCTAACCCTTCCTCTTCTTCTTTACCTTCTCATGGTATGCATTTGAATGTCTGGGGGAATGCTCCAAATCAAATTATGGGGATGGGAAAAATAGTAAAAAGAAGAACGGAAAGGAAAGGAAAGGCGAAAGGCAAGGCCAAAGTGGCTAGTGCATTCAAGGCACCACCACCACCACCACAATCACCACCATATCCATATAAAGGGAATTATGGAAACTTTAATCCAAGAAATGGAAAAGGAAAACAACCATATCCACCTAAGGATTACTCTAATGTGCAATGCCATGACCGTAAGATATTCAGACACATAGCTAGGTATTGCCATGCACCTCCCCTCTCTCACTTAGCGCTTGCACCATCACATAATGAGACCGGTAGGGCAAGGCCTAACACCGGTCCCATGACTAAGGGAAAAGAGAGGGTTTTTGAGGTCATGGTAGTTAATGAAGGAATCCATACATGGTACCTTGATTTTGGTGCCACGGTTCATGTGGCGAATTCTATGTATAGGTTCCGATCTATTAAGGAGGTGAAATCGGGCACTCAATACATCAATATGGGTGGAAACCAAAAGGAGCAAGTCCTAGGATGTGGGAACTATGTACTTAATCTTGTGAATGGAGAGGTTGTGATCTTAAATACCACTCTCTATGCTCCGGGTATGAGAAAGAATTTGATCTCGGTTTCCAAGATGAGTAGTGCCGGTTATGTGCTTATTTTCAAGGAGAACAAAGTATTTGTCTATTAGGGAATTGTGAATGGGGAGCTCGTCTTTGTACCAAAAAACCACAATGAACTTTTTCAATTTGAAGTAAAGAATAAGAATTTGCTTATGTGTCGGATCATGTGAATGATTTTCTATTATGACACTTAAGGCTAGGACACATAAAGAAATCAAGGATGGAAAGGTTTACAAGAGATGGATTTCTCAAAGCCATGAATGTGAGTTTTCAAAAAGAGTTTGAATCTTACATACAAGGTAAAATTGTTAAGAAATCCCATAAAAAGGTTTAAAGGACTTTAATTGGGCTACATGAATCCTGGTTCTCCATTCTGCTCTATTAAAAGCATTAGGATTCATGATGGGTTTTGGCAAAATTCTACGTTGGCTACCTACCTAACACAACCATGTCCCTTTACTTGGGCATAGGATGGGTTAAGGGAAAGTTTAAGGTCATCACCCTTTTTAGACCATTCCAAAGGAAACACAGGGTCCATAATTACCTTCATTGATGATCACTCCAGGTATGGTCATACCTACCTTCTTCGATTTAAAAGCGAAGCTCTAGGCAAGTTTATCAAATATAACGCTGAGGTTGAAAACTAAGTTGGAACCAAAATTAAGAACCTTCGGTCGAACTGGGGCACTGAGTATACATCCCATGCCTTCCATGATTTTTGTACCCAAAATGGTATCAAACATTAAACCATCATGCTATATTCGCCAGAACAAAACGGGGTTTAGGGTTTATGACCATATGGTTGATGAGGACCCTCTATCATCAGATCACATCATTAGGGTTTTGAAAAAATGCCAAAGTTTCCTGCTCTTATACCATGTCAAAATTACAATAATCAAGTAGATAAGTGATGAAGAAGAAGATTAAGAAGGTTTCGCAGTAGAGAAAGCTTTAGAGAGAGAGAGAGAGAGAGAGATAGAGGTTGACGTAAGGATAAGAGAGAGGATTCTTTGTTTGAATAAATATGCCTTCTAGTATATCTAATTGAAGATCTGTATGCATATACTACATAATCTACGAAAGAAATAGTCTTTGCATAGTTTTAATTGGGATACTTTCTGGTAGGGTGCCTTGGGAGATATAGTGCCATCGATCAAGGAGAATCTGTCCTGATGCTGCACTTTTGTGAAATGCATTTTGTACTAGGAAGAAAAATATAAAATATGTGGTGGATGCTTAGAGAATATATGTGCTGCTCTACCTTACAAGCGTTTTAAGGAATATCTGTATAGAATCAGGATATGTAATCACCTTTTGCTTTTGTGATTGAAATAAGCATTCTTAAATTGGATTGTAGATTATTTTGTGGGAAAGATAGATCACATTTGTGAGTACACATCTGTGTTTGTTATCCCCTATATGAGAATGGTATTTTTGTTCTTTCTACAATGGAGTTTTCCTGGTTATATGGTGTTAGAACATATTTCTTAATACTGCTCTTCCACCTCTTTTCAGGTATACATCTTTGGAACTCTTCTGATGGGCATTTTTTCTATTCTACTGCTTGTGGAGCGTGCACCTCCTCTTTACCATGCTTATCTTGCAGTGACTGTATTTCTATGGACACAGATATTTAATGATTTTCAATTTATAAAAGCAGCATGGAGCACTTTGATTTCAAGTGAATCCAAATGTCTTCTGAAGTTGTGTGGTACTTGTGCTGTATCTATACTCATTCTTGAATTTCTGGTACAGTTGCTGCACAACTGTGATGAACCTTTATAGTTTTTGCATAAAGTGGCACTAACCACAAATTTTCCAATTACTGAACCAAGCAAATGCCTTCTTGCAGGTGGCTAGTTTCTCTGAGAGGAGGCTCTACACTTTGTTTTTCCTTACTGCTGGACCATGTGGTGCATTTTATATCATGAAATCGTTTCGCGCATATATTGGAGCACCCATCTTCATTTGGGCCAGTTGTTGGATTTTATCACTTTTTACAATGTTTCCTGCAGATATTCCCGAGAATACTACGCTGGTGTATGTGCCTTGCCTTTGAGCTTGTTTTAAATTTCGGTTGCGAGGTTTCACATTTGATATCATGGATAACTTTATAATCAATGATACACGAATTGTTGGCCTTAACTTGATGATTGGACATTGTCTAACACTAATCAAATCGTAAGGCAGACCCTTCATACTTACATGATGTTTTCATATTCACTGCCCTTCACGCTCACACAATGTTTTCATATTCACTGATGCTGATGATTGTATGATGTTACACGTCCTTTTATGGCAATGATATGAAGAAGACATGGCCATAATGACTGCTTCAGACATGGAATCGGTGAACAGGTGCCCTATCCAGCCTGGTCAGTCCCCCTAGACTGGATGGTCCATAGAACTGGGACCCTGTCTGGTCTAGTCAGCTCCTTGGATATGTGGTCCATAGAACCGGGATAGGGCGAGTGGACTGGCTGGTCAAATGTCTTCACTGGATGGTGAACTGGTCTAGAATTGAAGTAGCCGGTCCCCTTTGGGGTGAAAAAAGGTCAATTTTTAGTCTTTCTTTTTCGGTTTTCAGTCAGGAAAATGTTTCTAAGGTTTTTTTTTTTTGGGGTTTGTATAGCAGCATTTTTGTAAAATGTAAAGCGTGGGTTTTCTTGGGGGAGTAAAGAACACTTTTAGATAGGGAGAAATGCTTTGGCGACTGGGTGTGCGTGTGTGTGAGTGTGTCAACTAAAAAAACAAAAGTTTAAGGCAAAAAATTGGCTGCTTCTTTGGTCAATATCCGTCCAAACGGATGAAGTATTCAATTCTCAAGTAAGTGTGTGTGATATATTTTAAGGTTTTCTTTCTGATTTGAGAAAAGCAAAAATGTTAAAGATTTTCAGTTGTAGGGTTTATGGCTTTTACAAAAAATTTGTTTATGCAGTTTTTTTATGTTGTTCGTTTTGATTTTTGATGGGCTCAAAACCGAAAAATGCGAAAAAGAAAAAACAGAACCCGAGCGCAAGCCCTTTTGTTTATAGATTTTATGGGCTTTTACAATTTGTAAAATCCCTTTGAAAATAGAAAATGCAAAAAAGGAAAACGAAAGTTCTTTTTTTGGTTTTTTTGTATTTCTTGTTTTTAACTTGATGGGATTTTACAATTTGTAATTACTCTTTAAAAATCAAAATTGAAAATGCAAGAAGTAAAATAGAACGTTATTTATTATTTTTGCTTGGAATAATTTTTTATTTTTTGTAACTTTTCTAGATTTTTTCCTCTGTTTTTTCATCATCATCGTTTGAACCTTATCCAAACAATTTGGTGTAAGGTATTTTTTACTCTTTTTTCTTTTTTTTTAAATTTTTTTTTTGATATTTTTGATTTTTTAAATTACTCTACTGGTCTGACTAGCAAACCTTTTTGACGGGACCGGTGCGATCACTAGTTCGGTTACCAATCCAGGCTTGACAATATTGCTCTGTTGAGTGCTACTATTGTTGTCTATTATCTATTGCCCTTTAGATTGAAGTACTAGTGAAATGAGGTCAATAGAAAGCCATATGATCCTAATGCCGTACCATGTCCAAGGTATGTGACTACCATATGTTCACAATTTCTGTGAAAAGAATGCTCTACCACCTTTTGCCGCCAAGATTCATTGGAAATTTGTGGTTAAACACCCCAGGTCTTACATGGCACTATGGAACTAATCCATAATAACTGCATTCACTTCGGGAGGCTCGTCGTAGAGTCAATCACTCTCTTGAGCAATCTGTATTATCAATTCCTCCCCTGAGCTATTTAATTCTAGAACTCTAGTACCCCTGAGCTATTTAATTCTAGAACTCTAGTACCCCTGAGCTATTTAATTCTATAACTCTAGTACCAGATGATATCCTCTTGCATGAGGACTAATTGGTATCGAACTCTTTGCCTCAAGCCTCCTCGCCTTTTGTTCATGCAGCAGGTTTCTTGACTCTGTGAGATTGAGTTCACTGATCTTATGAAGGAGGGACCCTTTCCTCCCTTAAAAGTCACCAAAAATGTTGGCGAGTCCTGGCCTTCAGTTTAGGCTCAACTAGTTGCGGCTTTTTGCACAAGCTAACACCTCCCCACCCTTCTACTGTCACATGTCCAAATCTTTCACTTAGCACCGTGCAGCCATAATACCTAGCCAGCTGCTAAGGCTAAGTTCAGCTTATCCAACACACCGAGTAAAAGGACTCACACACACAACTCGAACTAACACAAGAATAATGAGATCAAGTGCCGTAGCCCACTTTATTAAGCTATATAATTACACTGTATACCACCACAAATGTCCTCACATGGTCTAGGCTAGGGGTTTCTATAGCCCCCTACTACAACTGTTTACAAATTCAAAATTCGTACACGTGGTGCCAGCCACAGCCTGAGGCATGTTATGGTTTTTCTTAAACATCCATATAGTCACATTGATATCTCCACCTAGGCACCAGGGTGTGGGGGACAGGGAAGCTACATCATCAGCCCAAAACTCATCCCTAAGGTCGGGACTGTTAGATTTGTTGTCTGCCATGAAATTTCCAGCCAAATTGTCTGAACAAATTTGGGAAGAAGACTGAGACTCGGTATGTCGAATGTGGACCGAAGTATTCAAATGACACAAAGAGTCCCATAAGCTTCAAATCCCATTGTAGTCCTCGTTAACAGGTAGGGCTTCCCGTTGGCATGGTATTCACCCCAAATCTGGAGGACTAAGCTAGGTCAGGGGCACCAATCTTAGTTTCTATTATCGCAAGGATCTTTAGAGAGTACTTGTGAGAGAACTTCAAAGGGACGCTTTTCTTGATTGGGTAGCCAAGGCCTCAAGTGTTCTGTTTTAGGATTTTCATTTCGGGGGAAGAAGGGAGTTTGGAGACGCCTTTGGTTGCATCTCCAAATCGGCTCTTCTGAGGTAGATGGTAGGAGGTATGGAAGATGGTACTCTGGACCTATCGCATTAGGAAGGCTTTTGAGCTCTCCAACCTCTACTTTTAGCTTTGCTCTTAAGTGCATCGCTGATATCATTGGTAGCCCATCATGCATGAAGCCAATGACATTCTGCATAAGGTTGATGTTACCTTCCACTCTACCAATCATTTCGGTTTCCTCTGAATCCAACTGCATTAAAGACTGTGGGGGATGGAAAGAGGAGAGAAAGAAGAGAAGGTGTGTGGTGGTGGTGGGGGGGGTGGGGTGTTTGTTGTCCACCGAGGAGGGGGAGTTTGGAACCCTGATCGTGCTGTCCAGCATCTCTCAGGGACAGGAAGTTAGAGGAACTGGAATAGGCAATTCCAAGTTGACTACCTGGGTAGTGGAGGAGGGGTATATAGGGCCCAATATGGGTGTTTTTGGTTAGCAGGGGAATCTATAGCAAAGACCCTGGAGTGGCGCAAGCTAGAGCTGGAAAAGTCTTTCAAGGAAGCCTTTGATCTCTCATGGGGAACTTGAAGTAGGGTTTGCTTGAGCGGGATTTTTAGCCGAGGCATCTGACTTTCTTTTGAGAAGTGGGAATGTAGAATTCTAGGCTGTAAATTCAAAATTTTCTTTCTTTTATATTATTAATTGCTGGAAATTCTACTTACATGTGCCACAAATTACAATAAAATAGGCATACTACAATCTAGGATCTTAACAATTTACTGTCAAAATAAACTTTCATTCAAAATAAAATTAAAATAAATAACAAGAATAGCAGAAAAATAAAATTAAAATAAATATGGGAAGACTTACTGACTTTTACCTAGGTACTCCGTTAGGGCTTAGCAAACCTCACATCCGACCACCTGAACTGTGGCGCACGATCCTAGAAGTTGCTGAATGCACCAATTTGAAACTAAGAAGCACATCTAGGACTCTCTTTCTGAAAGTAATGGAGCAAGAGAGCTAAGGTCACAATTTGGTTTCACTAAGAGCCTCGTTCTACCTAGGGGCATTGCCAAGATGACACCTTCCCAAAGTCTATAAGAAGAGCATTGGGCGTGCCCCCCTCCTTGGCTCCTCTTTGAGGTGCGTGCCACCCCTACACATGAGGGGTGGCGTGCCACCTTCTAGAGACGTAAGAGGAAAGAGAGAGAGAGAGAGAGACAGAGAGAGAGAGAGAGAGAGAGAGAGGTCTGATGTACATAATGAAGGGAGATATGTTGGGTTTTGTAGCCTTTAAAAGCCTAGAGAGCTTGTAAATATGATAAATTATAGTGGACTATACACTTTAGTAGGAATGTGTGTTGATTGACTATGTGTTGGGTGGTTTATGGCCCTGGTTATGTCCAAAAAGCTTACCTCTGGGCATGTGGTACTACCGAGAAGGATTTAGAGTGAGTCATTGCTTATTGAGGTTGGAGAGATGCTTAGGGATGATGTTTCTAGGCCAAAAGAATTGTATGGTCTCCTGTGTGCAATTTTAAGCCTGTGAGAGAAAAGGCAATTTTCGCACAGCTTATACACATGACAGCTGCAGTACTGGGACGCGGCCCTTTAGAAGGATACATATAGAGATGTGCATAAACAAGTACTAGACTTGCTCTTAAAGAGGGGACTGTTATCCACATTCAAGGATCATGGTTCCACTGTTTATTGTCCAACTTTGATAATCCAATCATGAGCCTTTGCATTGAGACTGTGGGTTATGGGTCTTTATTGGGTTGGATAAGAAAAAAGTATTGGATCATGGTTCTTAGGTCGAGTGGCCTTATTGTCGCCAATTTTGACCCAATAGTACCAGTCGAATTGTAAAATATTTTATTTTAATATTAAAAATGTTTTTGTGATTTTTACGAATTGTTTCAGAATTTTAAACATTTATTTATGTTCTAAATTCATCAAAAAGGGTAGTTTTGAAATTTTCAAAACTACGAAGGGCACATGTGGGGACCTAAACTCTAAGCCCCACATTTGTGTATCACGATGAGTGGGACGTGTGGCCTTGTGGGGCCCACATAAAGTCCCTTGGGTGCCACGCCCCATTTTTTTATTTATGTGCAACTTTTAGTTAATAGTTTTAGTGGATTAGAAATCTTTTAAAATTAAAAAAGATTTGATTCCTATTCAAGTGAGAGTTATGTTTTTAAAAGCTTGTTTTAACTAGGAGTTTGGTTTGCCTACAGATATTTGAAAAGATATTAGGAAGTTTTGGATTGGTTATAATTCTAATTTAAATAGAAGTTGGACTTGGATCACATTATAAAGAATAAGGTTCCTAATAATCCTCCCAAAATCATGATGGCTGATTTGTGGGATCGATGGCTTAGATTTATTCTCTCTCACCTCGTAGATTTCGTAAGTTCCAATTGGTCAAGCTTTGTCATTGGATAGGCAGTACCTAAAGAAGGAATTCTAATCGAAATAGGAGAAGGAAGTCTTTCTATTTAAACACCATTGAGGCTCCTTCTGGCATCACAAATTTTTCTCTCCATGCACGAAATCTCTCTCTCTCTCTCTCTCTCTCTCTCTCCTTCATTAAGAAATTCCTTTTTCTTTCTCCCCCCATCTAAAAAGGGTCATACCTCCCAAAATTTGATAACACTGGGGTCGCACATTGAAACCTTAATTAGGGTTTTGTTGTTTAGATAAGAAAAATAGGTACGTCCAGCCATTGGAGGATAATATGGCTTCAAGCCCAACCCTAATTTGTTTGTAAGGGTTCCTGCAAATCCGAGTTCGGTTTCCATGCTCTCTAAAACCCTAGAGTAAGAGATATTGCCTATGAAAGCTTTTTGTTTTCGAAATTCTAGCAACACTTAAATGATTAAAAGTGCGCCATCGGTCAAGGAATCAGGTGGCGTGTATCAAGACTTGTTAGGGTAACTCCAGGATATTTCATATCTTTCTGTGAATTTTCAAGAACATATTTTGTACTCAAACTATAGTGGAAGATTGTTTATTGCTTTTGGATGGTTTTGATTTTGCTTCGACAATGAAAATAAAGTTTGATTTACATCAGTATATAGTGGCCCACGTAAGTGCAATTCAGTTATATTGAATAAAAGGAAAAAAAACGTTTTTAAATTCATTACCTTGAGTTTCACATAGCCACTCCCGTCAAGATCCCCCTATTATAATACTCTAGGGCTTAGGGAGTCCTAGTCAGATTAGGAGTTTAACTTTATCTAAGATAATATGTGAGGTGTGCGAGAATATTTGTTCTAAGCCATTCATCTCCAAGATCAACAATCATGATATAGAATAAATCTCATATCCCCTGAGATTTGACCCAACCCACTTATAAAATAATCTAGATTTTGTCTCATCATAATCTTATCATCTAGAATACTCTAGAGTAATCTAGAATATTCCAGATTTCTTTTTCTATCACACATGGATGATTAGGAAATAAAATCATGATCAAAATCTGGATCTTCTTAATTCTCCCACATAAGATTTTCTTGAAGAAATATTTTTAACAAAATAATAATGTTATAGCTATTTTAAAACATAACTAAAATATCAGGTGCCAAAAAATGGGGCGTCCCAATTAATGGTGTCTGTGGCCCTAGTGGACCCCATGTGACACCCCACACGTGTGCAGCTGGGTCCATAGTCCTCCACGTGTGTCCCACCAATAAAATTTTTAATACCTAAAATATCCCTGTTATTTAAAAATTATAGAAATACCCTTTTTGGGTTTCGACACATTTAAAATTCAGTTTAAAATTCTGAAAGGATATCCAAAATTCAGTGTAATACAATTATTAGTTGAAAACTTTATTTCTAGAGTTCCACAAAAATGGAAAACACACAAAAATACAACTAAAAAATGGACAGGTACCTTATATGATAAATAACAAGTGAATATCAGGGCGCTCCACCCATGCTAGGATCCATGATCCATTACTGTGTTCTCAAACTAACCGAACGAGATCTATGATCCATTACTGTGTTCTCAAACTAACCGAACGAGACCCATGACCCGCAATCAAATGCAAAGGCTCATAATTGACCTGTCAAAATTAGCCAATAAATAGTAGAATCATAGTCCTAGTATGTAGATTGCAAGTTTCCCCCCATAAGTCCGATGCACGCATCACTATAATACAAGGGGCTACTCTCTCTATGCACATGCACACATATCCCTCTATATAGGGTTGCTTCCCTAAATGCGGATATCATATGTACATGCCGTGTGGAAGTTTTGTTGAGGATGTAGCCCTCACTCTCATAGGCCCTTCGTTCGCATACAGGAGACCACACAGCTCTCCTGGCCTACAAACAACAATCCTAGGCATTTCTCTAACCTCAATATGGGATAATCCACAATAAACCCTTAATGGTAGTGTCAAATGCCCGGATGTAAGGGTTTTGGATATGATACGGTCCATAGACCGCGTACCCTAGGTCAATCTGCCACAATACACTTCCACTAAAGTGCACACTATAAATGATTTTCTTTACTGGCTCTCTTGGTCTTTAAAGGCCACAAACCCCAATATCTTTTATTAAATAATGAAACTTATTGCATTAGATTTTGGAATTGTAATTAGTGCACTAATGTCCTGCATGGAGAGTCTACATTATATGTGATCATGTTTGAAATACCTTTATCTTGGATCTGAACTTGTTTTTACTGATTTTTTGCATGTCCTGCATGGCTTAAGCTTGTATTATTAGAACTAGCTGGACTAAAACCGAATATATGGAATGCAATAATAGGAGTGGAAATGAGGGAGTAGTTATTTTGGGTCAATAATCGAGAAAAATAGAGAGATTGAGGAAGATGTCACACATAGAAATAGAGATGGGTGGGCAAAGTGGAGATATTCAACCGGAGTTTTATGTGTGCATACCAATGAGATTGAAGGGGAAGTTCTATAAGACAATTGTGAGACCAGCTTTTGCTTTATGAGTCGGAATGTTCGGCGGTCAAGAACAATGTACCAATAGGATGAGTGTAGCGGAGATGAGAATGCTGAGATGGATGAGTGACAAAACAAGAAATGATAGAATTTGAAATGAATATATTCAAGGAAATTAAAGGGTGGCTCCAATAGGCGACAAGATTTGGGAAAGTAGACTTAAGTTGCCTGGCCATGTGCAGTGCAGTGGAAGGCTTTAAATGGGCAAGGGAATTGCTCAAAAGGATATGGATGGAAGTAGTAAGAAAAGATATGGGGACTTATGGTCTTATTGATAGTATGGCACTTGATAGAGCAGAATGCCAGAATAGGATTCGTGTAGCCAATCCCAAATAGTTGGGATAGAGCTCCGATGATGATGATGATGACGATGATGATAATTAAGAGAATCTAAAATAGTGAGTTTTTGAGTTTCATAAATGTGGCAATAACTTTTCTATGAATATGGTTTGCAACTTTGTCACTAAGGCCTTCTTTGTGGCATGGTCTAATATAGATGCATTTGTTTGTCATTTAACATTTTAATTAGGATTCTTGATATACTATCAATTTTGATTGTTGTTGTTGTCCTTTTTTTTTTTTTGGGGGGGGGGGGTTGTGGGGGGGCGATGGGTCATTTTTTATTTTAGTTCTTGACTTTGATTTGTGTTCATTTTTGTTCTAATTCAAAAAACTGATGTACTATAGTTGTGCGCTCTCATTTATCCATCACAATGTTGATGTAGTAAACTGTCACCATAGCTTCTAATTTTGTGGATGTGTTTATTGTAGAATTACAAGTGGGGCTATAGTTGTCTTTATAGCATTAGTTTCAAGATGGTTTAACTCAAGTGTTGTGGCTCAGAAGTATTGTTCAAGTATATGTACTGAAAGGAAACAGTCCAATGGGTCCAAAAACCTCTTTATTGCACAGGTATAATAAAAACCTTTCCAGTGTACATTTATGATGTTCATTTCCATTGATGTAAGCTATGTTTCAAGATTTGCCTCTGTACTGTCATATCAGGCCTTCTTGGTTCTTCTGTCATCATTGATGGTGTCGTTATCTACATCCCATAGAACACAAAATAGAGAGCTTCTAGCATTGCATCAGGTCATAAATTGGGTTTTAGCTGGTTAGTATGTCATCTCATTTCTCTTGATTATCTCAAATTTGAGAACTTAACTCTATTACTATTTTATTGCTATTCATCTAATGAATACTTGCACGTGAAATTGTAAAGTGAAAATATTCAGATGATAACTTCAAGTTTATAAGTTTGGACTTTGTTTAGTATTCTTGAAAATTTAGCTTATTGAAAATTTTGAAATTTTATGCCTTTGGTAATAGGCAATAAAATAAGCAAGGAGAGTCTAGTAGGCGCAGTTTGTGGTGTGATGATGTTGGCTATTGATCAGATCTTCCTTGGATATAATAAATTCCAGATACATGTAATGTGCAAGGTTTTTAGTCATGTTGGTTTCATCCAACTGGTAGGGAATACTGGATTGTCTCCATTATGTGTTGCAGATGGTGTAAGCACCATAATTTTGTTAGATGTAAGTTGGTAATTATGTATGGACATTATTTATTGATTTGTCTTGAGGGCATGTGTATCATTGAAATTGCTTAAGAATGTTGTGCAAACAATTTTTGGAGTTTATAGTTTTTAAAGGGAACATTTATTTGTCTTAATGCATTTGCAAAGATGTTATGCGTATACCTCGGGAATTGTATGAGAAATCCTTTTGAGGGTAGAAACATGAAAAGGTCTATTAGTTTTGAAAATATTATAATAGTGGAGAATAATCATCCCTATTTGGCAATTTATTCTACTACTTTCTCGTTTCTCGTTTTATCTCATAAAAAGAATATCTCCTTGTATTCTTTGCCTTGACCCCTGTTGTTATGGAGCGAAGGTAGGCCATTTCTTTGCTATAGTGTGCATGTTAAAAAGTGTATGTTACTAAAGTTCAACACATGGCCCCAACTTACCTCTCTTATTTCTATCTATAAGAGAAAAGAAAGGAAAAGGACTGGCCAGCTTGTTTTGGTTTGGTTTATACTCTTAATTAATCAAAACCTTTAGTGGGTGTTGTGTAGTGGATTCTTTGGGATTCTACTGCTTTCTCATATTATGCATGTTAAGGGACAAACACTTTGTGCTGGGAATTCTTCCATAAAGTAGTTAAGTACATAGTTACCAGAATCTCTTATCTAAGTTTGCGTTTCTGACTTGAAATCCTGATTTCGCGATTCTGACATGGAATCTTCAAAGAATCTGTTTATGTAATAAGTCAGGAATATCGGTTCCTTGTTTTAGGAATCTCGATTTATAAAATATTGTTTCTACTATTTATCGATTCTCAATTCCACAATTGTTGAATCTCGATTCTACATTTGTTGAATGTGGATTCCTCATATAATGACTCTGTCTCCTTTAAATTAGAAACACAAACATAGGGCCATCAATTAAAAAATAAACAACTCAACCTATGAAAAACATCAAGTGAGAGACGTGATTTCAAAGATATCGGAATCTATATTTAGGAATCTCGATTCCAAATGGGCCGATTTCAAAAAGGTCAAAACCCCTATTCCAAAGAGGACCGAATTTCGATTCCATATTGGTTGGACCTGGTTTCTCGTCGTCTCGGGGACCCGTATGGTGAACCAGTCGGAGGAACCCTCTCATGAACAACCACTTGCCCACGCGTGTGTGTGCATGTGCGTGTGCATGATGTGTGGAAAGGAACCAACAAAAGAGAGATTTTTTTACGGCGAAGAAGTTCGAGCACCTACCTCGCCGGTTGAGTTCGGGGACGCGTCCGGGCTCTTTGCCCTCTTAGATCACTCGTGGAAAGCCCCTAGCTTTGCAGCTCGGTTTAACTTCAGCCTTGCTTCACTACGTAGCCTTGTGTACCCACTTATAGATGGTTTTAGAGAGTGTCCCTTGGCTTGCCTCCAAATGGGGATTTATGAGCGATTAGGGTTTGTATCTGGGGGTTGAGGGACTTGAGTAGGGGTTTAAAATAGTAGAGGTAAGAGATAGAAGATGAAGGGAAGATTGCCCCGGAAGATGGGCAGCCTTTCGGCATCGCCTCTCCTAAGAGGTATTACCGGAGGTAGAAACAATACTAGGCTAAAAGCCAAACTATCCTGGAGGATTCAGGAGAGTGGAGTCTATGGGTCAAGTTCATCGAGAATCACTTCCGAAGATCCCTCTAATAGGTGACCAGAATGATAAAAAAACTAATAAAAGGAGAGTAAGAGGAGAGAATAGATGTAAGAGAAAAGAGGCCCTTCCGTGTCCCCTCTCTAAGGAGGTGACCAGGAACGTCGAAAGCGCCTCTAGATTTCAACCAAAGTCTAGAATACCCTGGAAGATTCTTATGATCACAAGAACAGAGGTCAAGCCTCCGACATGGACCTAAAACGAGCCTCGTGAGGGTCACCCAAGATAGAAGAGTAACATAGTGTGAAGAGAGTAGGTATGTGGGGGTGGATGAGAGAGTGTAAGACAAAGTGAGAGTGTGAGAGTGTATGTGTGTGAGTGAGAGTGTGGATGAGGGTGGGTGAGAAAGTGTAGGACACAGTGCGAGTTTGTGGGGGAAAAGAGAGAGGGGTGAAGCGAGAGAGAGCGAGGGAGAAAAAGGGGGAGAGAAAGAGAGAAAGAGAGAGAGAAGGGGAATGGGCCAGCGGCCTAGCTGCTGGTCGGAGTGTAGAGGGAGACGGAGAGAAAAGGGGAAGAGAGAGGAGGAGAGGAGAAGGATAGAGAGGGGGGTCAGCGGCCTAGCCGCTGTCCCGAGTGGAGAGAGAGAGAAACATGCCCACGGCTAAGCCGTGGGTGCGGGGAACGTGAGAGAGAGAGAAATGTGCCCAAGGCTAGCTGTGGGCACGGTGAACGTCAGAGAGAGAGAAACGTACCCACTGCTAAGCTGTGGGCACGGTGAGTGTGAGAGAGAGAAAACAGGAAATGTGCCCACGGCTAAGCCGTAGGCGCAGTGAGCGTGAGAGAGAGAAAGAAAACGTGCCCAAGGCTAAGTCGTAGGCTCGGTGAGTATGTGTGAGAGAGAGCAAGAGACGGAAACGTGCCCACAGCTAAGCCATGGGCGCGGTGAGCATGAGAGAGAGATAAAGGAAACGTGCCCACAGCTAAGCCATGGTGCGGTGAGTGAGAGAGAGAGAAGAGAGAAGGAGATGTGCCCACGGCTAAGCCATGGGCTAGGTGAGCATGAGAGAGAAAAACGTGTCCACGGCCTAGCATGAGAGAAAAGAAAGAAAGAAAGAAGAGAGATAAGAGAGAAAGATGAGAGAAAGGAGAGAGCTAAAGAGAGAAAGAGAAGAGAAGAGAGAGAGGATGGACCTGGGTTTGAATCTTTGTGCTAAGCTTGGTGCAATGCCCCTTGAAAACCCTTGAGTGAGGTGAGGGTTAAGTCTTTGAGGGAATGAGGAGGGTCTAAGTGAGCTAGGTTGACGTATGTGATTCAAAGTGGTCCATGGTTTAGGCTAGCTTGTGGTCTAGGGAGTATAGGGTGGTTTAGGGTAGAGGGGTTTGGGGTAGGATGGTCTAGGTAGTATGGAATGGTTTAGGGTAGAGTAGTCTAGAGAGTATAGAGTTGTTTAGGGTAAGATGGTCTAGGGAGTATGTAATGGTTTAGGGTAGAGTAGTCTGGAGAGTATGGAGTAGGAAGTTTGGGAGTATGGGGTTTGGAAGTTTGAGGTGCCAAGGGTAGTCTCTCACTAACCAAATGTTTCTCTTTCCTCTCTGTTGAGTTTGGAAATCAATGCACATTCAAAGGCTCAAATGCAAAACTCCTAATATGTTTTACACACCTTTAAAAACAAAGTTACAAATGAGCATAAGAACTTATATATGGCCTGCATAAAACATGGGTGGATGACCAAAACACATCAACATTGCTTGAAAATAGGAATAAAATGAATTAAACTAAGAATTTCGTTTCTGTGTAAAAGGATCATTTTGCCCTTGGCCCCAATGTCGGAACTGACACAACCATCCCTCTTGGAGCGGCCTCATGCCATAGCCATGCCTCAGGGCTTTTTTTGGTGCCTTTATGTGACATTCCGGGAAATCAAACAACATAGAAACGTTGCTTATCTTGACACGATCAATTTGATATCCCGTATTAAGCTTGGATCGAACTTTCGAGGTTGATCTCAAAAATCCGACCAAACCCATGAACTTGTGAACTTCGTGCATTGGTGTTGCGCGGTTTGCCATGTCTTTGATCCTTTGTTTGATTGCAATTCGAAGGGGAAATCGTTGCAATCGTTTTGCAACAAAAACCCCTCGATTTGGTCACCATTTGAGTACTTGTCAAATTGGGGAGGTCGTCGGAAAATGGGATTTCAGCGACCGGAAAACGTGCCTGTTTGTAAACTCGAAATAGGGTGTCTTTTGGGCACGGATTCTGGGAAAGGTTTACCTCAAATCGAAGCACTTCAAGTTGCGGCCACAACGGACCCGCTCTTGATGTCATTCGATTTTCGAGCATCGGAGTGAGCAGAGGTCCTGCTTAAAAATTGTGTTTTAAGCATTTTTTTCCAAGTTCTTTGGAAGATTTCTTTCGTTTCGGGTATTGTCAGGGGTCGTGCCAGAAATCAAAACGTTCGTCTTGATAAGACGCACAACATATTAAAATTTGGGCTTGATTGACCCCTGGACAAAGAAGTTATGGCCTCCCAAATAATTCCCGTTTTCGAAAAACACAGTTTCTATAAATGGAAACTGGTTCATCAAGGCTGCACTGGAATAGTGTAAAAGCCACCCATTTTGGGTAAGTTGGGCTTAGAATGATCCAGAAGAGTCCAAATGAGCTAAAATTGATATTTGGTGGTTTTGGGCCCTCTGAATCCAATGGTGGTGGTATGGTACTCATTTGAGACCTTGACAGTATAACTCTAGTTATGAGTTACCTTTCAACATGCTAGGAACTGGCTTTGTGAACTAAATTTCGGTATGATCTGCTTTATCTTTGTCAGATCAAGACGAAACTTGGCCGGTATCCTTAGGTGCATCAAATGCTACCCCACATGCTTTTTGGGGCCGAACCGACACCTTTTCAAATTTACCCAAAATTAGGCTTATTCAATCAGTGCTCCTGCAGTCCACATGCATTTTTGGTACTCACGGGCCTAGTTTGCGACTGGCTCCTTCCTTATTTGCACGGAGATACAAGTGTGTCAAAAATACCCTTCAACACATATATGTAAGGATCTCTATTCTGTTTGGGTCGAATCTTGATTCGTATATAATAGGAATCTCGTTTCTTGCAATTTCCCTTACATAGATCTCGATTCCAATTTCTAACACTATATGGAATCTCAAGTGTTTTCAACAACTATGATTAATTATATATTCTTCATTGAAAGTTATAGTTTCTTTCTTACATATTTACTTGTTACTTGGTAAATTATGTCTTATAAGCTCGATTAAACTTGTCAACTATCACAATTTCTCTTTTGTGTATCTAAAAGATTATTATGTTGTGTGAAGATTGTGGTGGAATTGGTTATTTTATGTGAAAGTATATGCCTATATGGAGGTGGTTAGATTTTCATGGTATCATTAAGATGAGCAATAACACGGCTAACATAAGATCCCCTTCATCAAATTCTTATGTATTCAGATTTCAAGGGCTAACATTTTCTCCAAAATTAAGAAAACTAAATGCCCTTTTCATTTATGACAATGAGTAATTCTGAGTGAAGATTAGACTTTATTTGTTTTTTTTTTTTTGCTTTTTCTTTTTTCTTTGCTATTATGATATGTATTCTATCTACTTCGTACCTCTTAGGGTTTACTGCACTCTTTGATTTTTGTCTGAACTATCATGATATGTCTGCAATTTAGTGTTTAACTTGTCTTTCTTTGACTGAGGACTACAAAGATGTCTTAACCTTATTAGCATGATTAACAGGTCTTGGTATGGTTTTGCCATTGTTTTCCGTCAATACCTTGCTGTCTCGCCTCTCTTCTGTCTTTCTTGGTTTTGCTCCAGCTTTCCTGCTTCTTTCTATCGGGTATCCTTCTCTCTAGACTTTGTAATTTTAAATTTCTGTGATTCATATGATGAAAATGTAATGTGACTTCTCCTTTATCTTTACTCATGATTATGCCTTGCAGTTATGAAGCTGTCTTCTATGGTGCCCTTGGACTTGTTCTGATGTCTTGGATACTTGTTGAATCTGCTATTCTCTCACTGAGCTCAAAGGCGGCTCCCACCCATAATGACAATATTGAGCTCAAGCTCAATCTCTATCGTCGTGATGATGAAAGATACCTACAGTTGTCAGATATGAGAGTACCACTATGCTTTGTAAGTACCATCTTTGCTCAAAACTTCCCCAATACCCTCTTTGTAATCTCCAAGTGTTCATTGTTATCCTCTATTTCCTATATTTGTTGATTTATTTAATGTGGTTATATCTTTCTTTGCTTGTATTAAATATTTGATGATTTTGTTTGATGCTCCAGCTGCTCCATTATGCTTTTGAACCAGAGTATTATTTGTTAAAATACAGTTGCGGATCTTGTCTATTCTAATATATAAAATCTAACACATCCATTTTTGTCTATTGCAGTTGGTCTTGTTCAACGTTGCATTTTTTGGGACTGGAAATTTTGCTAGCATTGCAAGTTTTGAGATTTCATCTGTTTACCGGTTTATAACGATCTTCAGTGTAAGTAATAAACTTTATACCCATGCATTGTTAGTTGGCTCTTTTTTATGTATTTATTTGGAAAATGTTTTTCGAGACATTCTCTAATTTTTGTTCTCTTTTTCTTTGCAGCCATTTCTGATGGCCGGGTTGCTTGTTTTCAAGTTGTTCATTCCATTTATGCTTGTCATGTAAGTCAAGGCTTCAAAGTCAAGGCTTCAATTTTCTCAGTCATTCTCAACTCTCCTATATGCTATGCCTCTTCTAGATTGGAAGTTTGGACACCAAGTTCGTTCTAGTTCCTTCTGAATTTTCTTACAATTGACAAGTATCTTAAGTAGTATGTGTGAAGAATCATGAAAATAACTTCCCATCATGGATATAAGGAATGGCTTTCGATGAAAATGCATGTCTTCTCCACTTGGGTTTCTTAAGTTCGGGCTCTAGAACCTCAGAATTATCTGCATAAGATGTTGCATGAGTAGGTGTTTTGTTGTATAAGATATTGTTGCTACATGTTCTTTTACACTTTTGATAGGGAAAAACTCTAGTTTGATAATTCCTTTATGGATAGATGTGACATGATTTCTTTCTTGAGAGACAGTCGTGAAAGGGGTTTCCAAACTTTATCATATTATACACACACATAATCGATAGGGTTTGGAATTTGTTTTTGTTGGGGACCACATAGCTGGGGTTTGAGTTTCCTGCCATTCTATTAATATAAATTGTATTTTACAGTGTGCATATGAAGCTCTCAGGATTGAACCCTATCAAGAGAGAAGCAAAATCCTTTGCCTTCCAAGTCTCTTAACAAAGAAAACTAATGATAATATAAACCTATGATTCAAAGAGTGAATCTTGGTTATGAATGGATGCAGTGTTGAAGAATTCGGATTTGGCTGCCTAGTTTCCTAAGAGGCCTTTATGGATGTGGGGTTCTAGGCACTAAGAATGATATTTGAGGAGTTGTTTTGAATACCAAACCCCCCAAATTGATCTTACAAACCATATTTTCAACCAAAAAAAAGGCAAACTATCGAATATGTGCTCTATGAGAAAGGTTTGTATGAGATACTCACCAATGCTCCACCATCACAGCCTAGAGGGAATGCATCCAGGCTACAAGATGCATATGCGAAGTGGGAGCAGAAAAATATTCTTCCTAGGCATATCTTACTCGTGGCTATTCATAACTCGTATGCTTCGAAGCATGAGACCATCAAGACCGCAAGATCTATGCATGAGAGGCTCGAGAAAGAATTTGTTGATCCATCCCTCCTGGGAAAGACTCTTGCAATGAAAGGATACAACGATTTAAAGATGCCCGAAGGAGGGAAGATTGCCGAACACGTGCACACTTTCTGAGCTTTGATTTTCGAATTAGAGACAATAGACATGCGACCCAATGAACCCATACAACTGGTTCACCTCTTGAATACTTTCCCCGCCTCATGGGAGGTATTTGTGGCATCTCTTGGTGCTAGAGGAGCTTGTGACCTTGAAAAATTACAAAGGGGGTTTATCCAATGTGTGTGTGAATCATGCATGCAAGGAAAAATGACAAGAAAAACCTCCACCAGGGCACAAAGAGCTTTTAACGTTTTGGAAATCATCTATAGTTGCATATGCGGTCCCATGAATGTGGCAACTAAGAGCCATAAAAGATACTTCATCACATTTATTGATGACCACACGTAATATGTTTATTAAGGTAAAATGTACTGGTAATTCCTAAATCATATAGTTACGAATGTTCATTTTATTAGCCTCTCTTTTTTAAGCGATGAGAAGTGTCCAGATTTCTCATTATTCTATTTGAAGTTGAAGCCTATCCATTAGTTTGACAACAAATTTGTTAATGACTGTATCCAGATTTCTCATTATTCTGTTTGAAGTTGAAGCCTATCCATTAGTTTGACAACAAATTTGTTAATGACTTTAAATAATTCCATTTTATTGGTATAGGTTGGGTTAAATTATTGCTAGATTCTATCATCCTAATGCCTTTGGTATAGGTTTTTGTCTTTAAAGCTATAAAGAATAGAGAATGGATAGAAATCACCCTAACTTGCTAAATAGTAATAGTTTGTGTAGTGGGTTGAAATGATTGAAGTATCAGATTATCTATTTTAATGATTGTGCGCCATATTTGCCTATTGCACTCAAAATCCGAAGCCCTAGACCGATTTAAGGAATATAAAGCCGAGGTAGAGAATCAAACAAACCAAAAGATAAAAGTCGTAAGGACAGATAGGGGTGGCAAATACTCCTCACAACTCCTCTAGGATTCATGTGTAGAGCATGGAATTTTATCTGTAGAGCATGGAATTATACATCAATATACCATGCCACATACATAGGCCTAAGAATTTACCCGATTTGGATCCAAAACCCAAATTTCAGATCTTGGTATGGATCCAAGATTTGGATTCGGATCCAAAATTTAGATCTGGATAGTAATTTGGATCGGATTTGGGTACAAGTGGATCTGATCTGGATCCGACCTGATTTCTTAAATAATATGAATATTATTTTTTATATATATAGTTAAATATTTATTAAATTATATATATAACATATAACTTTTTGAATTTTAGAATATCTAATCTAAATCCCATGTATAGCTTTCGGATCTGGATCCCATGTATAGTTTTTGGATCAGGATCTGCATCCGGATCTAAACATTCTGGATATGATCTGATTTGGATCCTACGCATATTGGGATCCGTATCCAGATCTGGGCAGATCCATACCCGAGTCGAAAAATTCTCAACCCCTACACATACACCCAAAAAAAACGGGGTAGCTGAGAGACGAAATAAGATCTTGGTAGAGATGGTGAGGAGTATGATGGGGCATGCTCAGCTCTCCCTAGAAGTTTGCAGAGAGGCAATATTAGCAGCAGGAGACATTCTCAATTGCACACCCACTAAAGCTGCTCCTCTTACTCCTCACGAGATATTTGTTGGTGTTGCCCCATCCCTTGAGCATCTAAGACTATAGGGTTGTTCAGCCCATGTCTTAGTCTTGTACCAACATAGGACCAAACTTGATCCCAAGACCATTACATGCATCCTTATTGGTTACCCAGACCACGGTAAGGGGTATCAATTCTACAACCTTGAGAATGGGGCTGTCATAAAAAGCGAAGACACCCACTTCTTTGTGGACGAGTTCCTTGAAGCAATAACTACTCACAAGAAGGCTGACCTCTATGATAAGGTTGTGTCTCGAGAACCCAAACCACAACCCTTAGGAGAAGCCAATGCATGAGAAGACAACCTGACTTCTTTACCTAGCTAGGGGAATACTATGAAAGAGTTGGGGATGAACCGGACCAAGAGCCAACCACATACAAAGAAGCTATAACCTGTCCTGAAAAGAACCATTGAGTAGAAGCCATGAATGAGGAATACAATTCCATAACCCAAAACGATGTCTGCGAACTAATATCTCTACCTCATGACTAAAAGCCCTATTGGGTGCAAATGGATCTTCAAGAAAAGCTAAACCTAGAGGGGAAACTAGAAATATAAGGCTAGCTAGTAGCCAAAGGGTTCACCTAGGAGGGGATTGACTATGATGAAACATTTTCTCCAATTGCAAAATTTCCATCCATTAGGATCCTGATAGCTATAGCTGCCCACTTTGATTTTGAAGTTCATTAAATGGATGTGAAAACAACCTTTTTCAATGGAAGAGATATACATAAAACAACCAAAGGGTTTGTAGAGAAAGGAAAGGAGAACCTAGTTTATAAACTTTGTAAATCCCTTTATGGCCTTAAATAATTATCGCAATAGTAGTACGTCAAATTTCGAGAACCTTTTCCAAGGCAGGGTTTACCTCGAATGAAAAAGACTATTGCATTTATAACAAGGTTAGTAGGAGGGATATCGTGTTTATATCGCTTTATGCGGATGATATGCTGATAGTTAGTAGCACAATGGCCCTTGTGTTGGAAACAAAAGAATTCCCTTCACGGCACTTTGATATGAAGGGCTTAGGGGAAGTTTCATATGTATTGGGCATCAAGATAACAAGAAATAGAGCAAACCGAACCCTATCAAGGCAGACAAAACGTATTGGAAATGTATTTGCCCAGTCAACCTATTGCAAAAGAGCACTAGAAAAGTTTGAAATAGATGAGTATAAGCTCATGTCTACCCATATTGACGAGAAGACAAAATTTAGTTAGCAAATGTGCCCTAATGACGATGACAAGAAAAAGACCATGGAAAGAATAACCTATTGCAGCATAGTAGGATATCTGATGTAAGCCATGTCAGGAACAAGATCAGACTTGTCCTTTGCCATGATTATGATGAGCCGGTTCTAATGCAACCTGGGGATTGAACATTGGAAGGCGGTTAAGAGAGTCCTTAGATACCTAAAAAGAACTGAAAATTATGCGCTCACATATGGAGAGGGATAAAAAATTGTTGTGCATGGTTATACATATGCGAGTTATCAAGGGGACCTCAATGATTTGAAATCCACATTTAGATATGTATTCATGCTTGGTGGAGGTGTTGTTTCTTAAAAATCATTGAAACAAGATGTTGTGGCCTTATCCACCATGAAATCAGAATACATAGCATGTCTTCTGGCAGCTAAGGAGGTTGTATGGATAAAGAAGTTCCTTAATCAACTACAATTCGAGCCTATGCGGTGCACATTTGTAAGGATCTTCTGGGACAATCAAGCCGCAATTTGTGTGGCTAAGGAGCCACGATTTCACAAGAAGTCCGAGCATATCAAGTCGTACTACTACCATGTTCGAAATAAAGTACGACTTGGAGAGATAGGGGTTACATATCTTCACACAAATGCAATGTTGGTAGACCCTTTGACAAAGTGGCTAGTAGCAAATGTTTTTATTGAACATGTATATGGGATGGGGCTGAGAGAGTGGGGAAGAGAGATTGTAAGGCCTTTAGAGGCCAAATGAGAGTTGTTGGGATTTTGTGGTCATTAAAGGCCTTACGAGAGCATGTAATGAATTTTATAATAATAGAATAATCAACTCCGATGGGAGTATGGTTCAGAGGTTGGTAACATTGATGCTAAGAGTCAGTCTACGCTTGACGAGCTAGGCCAAGTTGTTCTAAAACCCTATAGACCTGGGCACATAGCACAACCAAGAGTTTAAGCCATTGATGAGGTCAGAGAGATGCCCAGGGTAATTGGCCAAGGGACTTAGTGTCCCTTGTGTGCAATTGGTAGGTATGAAGGGGCAACAGCCAAATCCTCATCATGATCATCTCACGGCATGTACATATGATAGCCGTATTGGGAAGTGAATACCATTGAGGGTGTGACATATACATGTGCGAGAGATTGCCCCCATGCACTAATTACGACATGTGTGCACAGGTATGTGTGACTTAAGCGTGTCCCTAGGGGGAACCTGTAATTCATAGATTAAAACTATGTTCTCGTCACCTACTCACTGGCTTTAGTAGTCCAATTATGAACCCCTGTCATGGGAGCTATTGGGTTAGTTTGAGAAAGTGAGTATGGGACATGGTCACTAGAGGAGATGTAGTGGTTGCATTTTCCTTATTGAAGTTAGATCCAAATCCCATCAATAAATTGAAAATGTTTAATTTTATGTTAAATGATTTTTAGAATACTAATATGAATTTTTAGATAGCTTTCGATATTTTATTTTATCAAAATTGAATTTTAAAAGGTCGAAAATTGATTTTTTAGGAATTCAAATATTCAGAGAGAAAAATAAAATACTTATGCTTTTCTAAAATCATTTTTTGTTATTTTGAAATTTATTTAAGATTTGGGGGGCTCAAAATTCATTGGAGCCCACCACATTAAGCCCATTGAGATGGGGCGTGGGCCCACTATGACCTTCATAAGTGGGATGCCCTACTCTTTCCTTATTTTCTTGTAGTGTGGCTTGATGAAGAAGCCACGTAGGTTGATTTGAAATTTAAAAGAAAGATTTGTGAAAAGATGATGATTGCTTTCAAAATAGGAAAGTGTAGAGATTGATTGAAATTAATTAAAAAATACAAAGTATTTTTCTCTACACAAAATATTTGATGGGATTAGGTTAAAGAAGCCGAGGGGTAAGGTTCTGACACCTTCATTTAGATCATGATGACTGATCTACAGATTGTATGGCTAAGATCTCTCACCCCACAAGTCACCTATGATCTGCGGTCAAGATCTAATCTCTATAACGATGGCTAAACCCTAATTCCCAAAAGCTCAAAGTTATATATTTTATATATATATATATATATATATATAGTATATATATATATATATTATAGT